TCTCAAAATGGTACCTTCCAGCCTAGTAAATCTTTGGTAGAATCATTAGAACTATCCATTGCAATATTAACAATTATGAAAATCATCAATTACCCATCACTAGTGGCGGCTAGCAAGAAGGATTGAGATTTAGTGAGCGTTTACTCAAGGCAAAATCCATCATGGCACCATTACTAACTCCCCGACGTAAATGTAAACAATGATGTATAAAGGGCATAACTCTATATCCAGTCTCAAAACATAAAATAAAAAACTAAGAATTAAATAACTAAAGCTACAAGAAAAAAAAACACAAATAACACACACACACATATATTCATAACGGACAAAAAAAAAAACAAACAAATAATTAAATAGTAATTACTCACTTAAAACATATAATCATAAAAGCATAACAGTACAATTAGAGATTCATTACCCCAAACATTCAAAGCTAAGCATGGCATATCCCTAGTGGAGTCATCATTCTATCGATGAGGGACCGTGTGAGCGAGTATAGGAACAGAGAATCGCCACCTAGCTAATTAAGAAAAATTAGAAAACCCTAAACATACTAGTCTATATAGATATCCGGGTAAGGAGTCGGTTATATATGAAAAAAAAAAATATCACCATCATCCATCTTACCTAAGGTAGGCTATGTTGAATGCAAATGAAAATAAAAATCTAATTTTTTACTATATTATGTTTATATATCTATTTGATTGAGTTTATTTTGATGGGATAGAATAGTAGAGTAATTTGAGGTTTAGGAAGCTACAAACAATTTTTCCACATAGGTGGGAAGTTAATGACAATTCCATTTTATACGAGTAAGGAGCGGATAACTAGTTTGAAAGTCATTGATAACTTTGTCACATAAGTAGGAAGTCTCCAACAACTTCATTTTCAATAAACATGAGATAGGTAAAATGATTTCAAAACCACTAGTTTCTTCATCACATAAGTGGAAAGCCATTAATGAATTTACTTCAATAATCACAAATCAAATAAAACTAACTAGATGGCCACCAATTTTGTCCATATAGATGGGAAGTCACTACTGGTATCTTTTCCAACGAGTAGAAAACATATAAAACGACTTCAAAACCATTGACAACTTTATCACATAAATAGAAAGCCACCAACGACATTACTTTAACAATCATAAACAAATAAAACTGGCTTGGGGGTTACTAGCGGATTCATCCACATAAGTGGGAAGTCACCGATGACCACTTTTTCAACAAGCAAAAAACATATAAAATAGCTTCAAAATCGGTGGCATCTTCATCACATAAGTGGAAAGCTATCAACGATTTTATTTTAATAGGTAAAAATCAAATAAAATTGGCTTCGAGGGCTACTAGCAACTTCGTCCACTTAGGTGAAAAGTCACCGATAATATTTTTTTCTAATGAGTAGAAAACATATATAAAATGACTTCAAAACCATTGCTAGCTTTATCATATAAGTGAACGACCACCAACGACTTCACTTTAATAATAAAAAATCAAATAAAACTTGCTTAGAGGTCACCGGCGGCTTATCCATATAAGTGAAAAATCATCGGTAACCACTTTTTCGATAAGTAAAAAACATATAAAATGATTTCAAAACCACCGAAAACTTCATCACATAAGTGAGAAGCCACCAACGACTTTATTTCAATAGATAAAAATCACTTAAAACTAGCTCGGGGCTACTAGCGAGCTTCATCCATATAAGTAGGAAGTCATCGGTGCCCTCTTTTTTATGAGCAAAAACCATATAAAACAATTTTGAAACCATTGACGAGCTTCATCATATAAGTAGGAAGCTACAAACAATTTCACTTCAACAATCAAAAATAAAATAAAATAAAACTAGCTTGGGGTCATTGACGGCTTCGTCCACATAGGTGAAAAATCATCGGTGACCACTTTTCTAATGAGAAGAAAGCATATAAAATGGCTTTAAAATCACTCGAAAGCTTCATCACATAAGTGGAAAGTCACTAACTTTCCTTTAACAATCATAAATCAAATAAAACTGGTGTCAAGGGTCACCGACGGCTTTATCCATATAGGTGAAAAATCACTAATTACCACTTTTTTGACAAGCAAAAAAAATATAAAATGGCTTCGAAACCACTAGAAGCTTTATCACATAAGTGAAAAGTCACCAATGACTTCATTTCAACAAGCATAAATCAAATAAAAATAGCTTGGGAGCCACTAGCGACTTCATCCGCATAGGTGAAAAGTCACTCGTAACCTCTTTTTTTATGAGCAAAAAACATAGCAATCATCTAAAGTATAATCCAATAAAGCACTTGATGATTCAATCATTCGCAACATGAAATTTCTATTATTTTTATTTATTATTTAAATAAGTCTTTATAGGTTTGAAAGTTACCCAAAATATTTTGAAAGATTCTGAATTTGTCGAAGGGTTTGGTTTGGAGTTAGTTCCACTCTCTTCATCTTCGATGCTAACTAATTGTTCGGTTAGCTGAAAAATTAGAGCAATTACTCGTTGTCAAAGTTATTGCTATTGTTAAAGTTACTACAACTTGTCAAAGTTACTACGACTTGTCAAAATTACTCGTAATTTAAACGGATTTGACAATAATGGAGTTGCTATGTTGTTCCAATCGAAAATAAAACAAAAATGCAATTACAACATCATATTGTTTTTGTCAAACTTAACAAGCCAAATGATGATGTTTTTTTTATGTTTTGTTCTTTCTAAAATTAATTAATTTTCTAACCCACAAGTTTTGTATTTTTTTGTTTATTTGATTCCGTCTAAGATATAAAGTTCTAATAAAAGGTGTTTTTAGGCTAAGATTATAAAGGAAGGAAGCTAACCATGTGTGTTAGTATAGTTCGATCAAGGAGGAGAGGGTTTGTGGTGTTCGTACTGGTCACAACTTGGAGGAGGAAGGTGGTTCGGCTAGATGAATAAAAAGAGAGGCAAGTAAAGGTAGGTTTTTAGATAGTTGGGTTTCGATGTTGTTATTGTGATGGCTTGTGGTGGCTCACAACAAGGATGGGTTGTGTGGTAATGATTCAAGTTAAGTTGAGGAGGTCGGTGTGGTGATGGTAGATTATGGTGGTTTTGGAGGTGACTTGTGGAGATTTGGTCGGGAGGTTTAGTAGCGTCTTATGGTGGTGGTCGACCATGTGAGAGGAGTTATAGCTATCGTGGGGCTATTACAACTTTAAGTAGAGAGGGAGGGTCGGCTATATATGGCGTGGTTGGAGATCGATAGTGGCCGGAATAGCATCGGGGCGATGATGGTCAAAGATGATGGTGATTGCAAGCGATAGCAGTTGAAGAAGACAAAGATATTTGATTTTGAGAGAGAGGTTCGATTGTAAGTTTTTCTTCAAGAAGATGATGAATAGTGAAAGGTATATAAAAATAAGAGAGAGGGATATTTATAGGTGGAATTTAGGGGTTGTTTTTTGCAAAGCTCGATTTTGATCTCTCGATTCCTCCTAATTCACCGATTTAAGTGTAATTTTGGTTGTTTGAATTTTAATAGCACCCCTAAATAGCAATTAATCAAGATTTTTTTTTTAATTTCTTTCAATCATATCTTTTCTTTATTTTAATAAAGGGTATGGGGTTTTAAGCTTTTTAATTGTACTCTCAATTAGGTCTCTCTTGGTTCTCAAATTTTCTATTACTTTTAATTAGACCCCTAGAACTAATTTGAGCCACTTGTTATATATATATATATATATATATATATATATATATATATATATATATATATATATATATATATATATTATTTCTATTTTTGCTAAAAAGTAAAAATAAAATAATAGGAGTGAAAATTAGGTACTAAAATTACTATAAAGAGAAAGGTGGGAGGAGGCAATGTTGTTGTTTTCACTTCCCTACCTACCATTGACGAGGAAGGTCACTTAAGACTTTATCTCATAGCTATTTTAGATAGAAAAATTATGAAGAAGAATAATCGATCTGTGGTGATGAAGCTTATACGAGTGGACTAGCTTGTTTGTGGAGAATACTACTTAGAAAGTTTTAAAAGATCTAAAGCCATGATTCTCTGGTTTTTGCTTTCATTCTTGAGGACAAGAATCTTTTATAAGGGAAGGCAATGTACATATACTGTGTGATTAGGGTTTTTAGTTAGTTGGTTTAATGAGTGTCTGCTAAGGCTAACTAGATCAATGAAGTGGCATTAGTAGTTAGAGTAACTGTTGACGTGGCCTTTCTTGTTAGGAAATTAGTTAGCGGTAACAAAGAAAAGGAAAATAGAAGATACTGTTTATTCATTCAAATTGTAAAACAAGAAATCAATACAGAATTCTTTTCTCAATCTTCTTCCTCCTCTAACCTTCTTCAAAAACTCCTTGTTAAGAAAAACTCTTAACAGTCACCTTTCTCAAAGACCACCACTTCACGACCCTCCCGACGAAGGTTCCGTGCCGCCACGATACCAGCAACTCCGGCACCAATCACGACCACGCGACAGGAGATAAACAGCGGGTGAAATTGGCATTTTTGTTGGGCATTTGAGGTGTATGACCGAGATTAGATTTACAGAGAGTACACACATGACACAGCAGCACATGAATCACATTGGACCTCCCATTTCATCCATTTTTAAATTCTAGGTGATGTAGTATAAGTAAAAGGTACTTGGAATCTTCGTTAATTATCATTTCGTATTAGGTGCAATGGATGAATTGTTGTCGGAACATTGGCATGATAGCTATTCTGTGTTTAACCAATGAGGCTGCATGAGAAAGTGAAAGGCAAGCAATTAATTTATTCATGTACGAATGGATGTCTTCATTGATTCTATCTTATATTTTTCAATTTTCTTTAAGCCCATAATAATTGATTGCGAATCATGCAAATACAAGTCCAAATAAACAATGATGATTGATCCCATAAATTCTGATGTTGACAATTAGGCCAACCTATCTTCTTCTTCTTCTTCTTCTTTTCTTTGAACAACACCTCTATTGAGAGATGCAGCTGTTGCTGGATCTGTTTCAGGTATCCTTTTTGAAGTACTCGTAGGCTTCCAAAACCAGGCTATGGTCATCCCATTCATCACGGTATGTCTCTGGCCGGAGCCTCTTACTCTTGCTAGTTGTATCATACATTTGCTGTCTCCATTCTTCGATCCCTGGGCACCCGCATTGAGAAGCAAGCCAATTGTCGTACTCAAACTGCAAAATGACATCCAAAATGCAGTAATCGACATAATTCAAGAGATCACGATGACACAGCAGTGTCACAACTCAGTTGACCAGAGAACATTCCTAATGAGTGATGGGTTATGATACCGTTTTGGTTTAACACATCTACATAGCTTATAGAATAATGTTCAAGCTGTCAGAAAAATATGCAGTGGCCAAGCAGACAGACATGGAATTAGCTTCTCCATGATGTAATCAAAACTTGCAAAAAAGAGAGAACTAAGGTCATGTTACCAGGAAAAATAAACACAAAAAGCTCATGACATACTACAAATCAGCAAATATACAATCTGGAATGCAAGGATCCCGAAACTAAGGAAAAGAAAAGAAAAAAAAAAAAGGATATAATAATCCATGAAAACATAGATACATGGGGTCTATATACGCCTTGAAGGTCATAAAAGAGGAGAGGCAATTGAGATGAGAATCACAACATAAATAAAGGAGACCGGGAGTACTAATAACTAAGAAGAAAATTATTTTCAACCTATATTTCTATTTTTTTTTCCTAGACTATATTAGGATCAAAATACATGAGTTGGTCTCCATCAAAATCATTCCTGACTCCATCAATGAAATTTCAAAAGAAATCCTATAAAAAATCTCCCTTCATTCTCACAATGACGAAACCCATTATTTGCATCTTGTTTTTTTGCCAATTCATCAAAAAAGCTCCATTGTCATCAATTCGATCAACTGAACCTCTATATTTTCGATTTCAGTTCATTAAATATGATTCAACAAATCGAAAAAGATACTACTCAATGAGGGTGGAGATGGTGTGGGTGAGTGATGTTATTAACAGGAGTGAAAGGAAAGTTGATGATAATGAATCAAATAGTGATTAAAACTACTCAATTGACCAAAATAAATTTTCAATTTTGACAAATTGTACTTGGTCGGCTGAAATAAAAAACATTGGAGCTCATTTGACCGAATTGATAATAGAGGATATCTTTTGATGATTTGGTGACAAAACAGGGTGCAAATAATAGTTAGCCTTTTCACAATGGTCAAAATAAATATTTTTACACAAGTTATTTTTACAAGAGATAGATATGCAGTTAATCGTCTTCTTTCTTTTTTCTTTTTTCTTTTTTCTTTTTTCTTTTTTTTTTTTTCATTTGGGTGTGTTGTTTAAATACTATGTCAATCATGTATTGAAGCTAAACGTTAGATGATAAAATGGAAAATAAACCAGTAAGAGCTAATGCTCAACAAGGTAGTAATAACTGCAAAGTGCAGAAAGTATAGATCACAGTCAACAATAGAGCAATTACTAGTGCCATTGAGATCTCCGTTATTATTGGTAAACTGACCAATTAAGTGAAGACTTGATGACTTCTCCATCCTTATCATCCATCCAACAAACTCAAACAGGATTATTTACACGTATGAACGTCAAACTATAAACCGTGATGACCGTCGGACTTTTACCAATTCATTCTGATGAACAAACTAACAAATTGATATGAAAAATAGGATACAAACTACACCATACAGAAGGCTTACCTGACAACCACCCAAATTATGAGTGTAGTGTTTGGGTATGTTGGAAGCTTCTAATGTCAGATAGAAGGCTTTAACATCTTCCGTCATCTCCTCAGGTGATGGAAGTGCAGTCCGACCTGATAAAACACCAGCAATCCACTTGGTTTGAAGTTCACACAAGGGGGAAGGGACAACCTACCACCAATCATAGGCAAATTATTTTTAACATGGAAATTGAATGTCCAATCAAAATGAAGGAATTAAAGCTAAACAGAGTTGAACCTTCCATGGTAACCCAACAAACGAAAGCCATGGGGCCAAAACCGGTGGAAAAACATGCTTGTACAAGGGCCCCACACAATTTTCATCCACAGTAACAATGCCGTTGGTGTCAAGAAAAGGGAAGTGATACTTGTACCTTACAGACAAGGACAATTGCAAGAAAACATTCGGCCATCATTTATTTTTATGATCAGCAATACATATAATTAGCATTGAAATATTTAAGTACCCAGTGCAATGTAGAATAATGTCAGCGAGGACAACTCTCCCATTTCTGAAGACCACAGAACCATCATCATGTGCACTTTCTATCTGCATCATTTTGATAAAAACAAGCATCTTAGAACAAGCCCTTCTCACAGCATCAGAGTCAAAGAACTTCCTCACAAACGTCTCATGACAGTTGCCCACTCTAAATCTAGGTGAGTACTTTTACCATAGAATGAAGCCACATGTTATCATATCCAGGCTGCTCTTGATATGTTTTATCTGCAACTGATCTTGAGGCAACATGGACCTCTTTAGCAACTCCAGCAATTTCTCTGGATATATCAACAGAACTAGCTGAACTTCCAATTAAAATTACCACCTGTCCAAACAGGAAAAAAAAAACCGATCAGCCAGGAAATATAAATATATCTCTTAGAAAAAGAAGTTACTACAAGAAGCACGATCAGGTATAATCACACACAACACAACAACCTAATAAACAAAAGGAAATGACCACAAACCCAAGACAGAATTGAAGAGGATAAGAGCTACAGATTTCACAGCAAACCATCCATAGAGGAGCATCCATCTTTCACCAAACTGATAATATGCATTTGTACAGGAGAGGGGCAAGCTCATGTTAATAATTTTGTTGTACTCCAATCTTCCCATGTGCAAGGCTTCTTTACATCAGATGTTGCACTCCTTTCATTCTTATTAATCTCGTTTAGGTAGTGCCAGGATATAAGGTACTCATTCTTATTTGTATCTAATCAAAGATCGTTTATACTTTTCATAAGGTGAAAAAATAAAAAAATAAATAAAAAACTATTGCCCAGTTATGGTTCCAACAAGACAAGAGTTCTAAGAGGAAAATTTTGGAAGAAGTCTTGCCATTAACATTTTTGAATGAAGCCTCAAGACTCAGTCATCAACCATTTTGATGCAAGCTCAAGACTTTTATCGTTACAACAAGACTTTCATTTCAAAAGAATGAATACAGTGGCTACAAAATCTCACACCTAATGAGTAACATTTCCTCCCTCGTGCTAATATTTGTGTATCTCTACATTACACACAAATTTGGCATTCAGACCAATCTTGAACACAACACTACAGATACATGCACACAAGCCAATGGGCATTATAAAATTTCTGCAGTATACAGTAACAAAAAAGCAAGTTCGTGAAATAGTAGTAGAAAACTGACACGTACTTGATCTTGAAAGCCCTCAGGGGTACGATAATTGTGGCTATGCATTTGTTTTCCTGGCCATGAACTGATCCCTGAAAAGAAGATAAGCAAAAACGTCACACATTTACTTCGTTTCTAGAATTCCCCCTATGCAAGTATGAAACTTTACAGAGCATATAATCCAAAACATACACTAAAAAACGAGTTCCTAAGAAAAAGTGGTTTCAATCCAATCAAACTAGCTTAATCATCAAGAACAAACCATAATTCCACAGGAAAAAAAATTCAAAAAGAAAAGAAAAGAGGGAACACCTACCAACCCAAATATGAACATTCTTCATGGAATTATCTAACCTCAATCAACAAAACCATAACCAATCCTAAAAGAATATAAATTTCAAGATAAGAAACAAAAACTACCTGGGATTTGAGCAATGCGAGGTTCAGTGTAATGTCCGTTACAGATAACCACAGCATCATAAATCTCCTCATCAACATCAAATCCAAAACCAATGTTCCTATGATTATCAATTGTTTTCCTTTTCGACCTCACTTTCCACTTTCTAATATTATCCTCAACAGGCCTCACATGAACCACTTCAGTCTCAAACCTCACCATTTCTTCAATCCCAAACTCACTTGCAAAATCCTGCAAATATAACAACACCTCTCTATGGCCCGGAAACCTTCTCTGGTCTCTCTCTTTATCTTTTTTTGCTATAAACGGATAGTCTTTGAAACCCATTACTTCTCTTGGGAGGTTGGTGCGGAGGGAGCTGTAGAGACTCGAGTGAATTATGTGTCGAGTCGGATCGAGGCTTAAGGGGTCGTGTTCGACCAGGGGATTGTACACCCATGTGCCACCCACTTGGTTGTCTCTTTCAAAGACTACAACGTCATGACCCTCTCTTCGGAGCTCACGGGCAGCGACGAGGCCGGCTGCTCCAGCACCGATCACGGCCACTTGGCAGGAAATTTGTGGAGGAAGTTGTGGTGGTGGCATTGACAAATGGTTGATTTGTGGTGTTGTGGCGAACAACAGAAGAGAGAAAGTTCGGTTTTTCTGGACATCCGAGAAATGTTAGCGTCCAGCAGGGTCCCAACTCGCACGTGACTTTCTGTCGCAGAAAAAGAGTTATTATTCGGTATCAGATGTAATCCTACCTACACTTGGTTGTAGTTTAAGTTGAATAGTAAATCGAATTGAAATTGAACCGTTAAAAAATTAAACGGGAATCTTTAAAATCATAATTTTGATTAAATCGGATCGTAACCGGCTGTCTACAGTGTTAGTTATGATTCAAGATATCCTGAAATCGAATGACAATTCTAAACCGATGATTAAACCATATAATCGACGAGTTCTACATCTTTCCAAATAAATTTGGGTTGGATCCGAAAAAAATGAAAAAATTTAAATAAAAAAACTAATTTTATGTGGGTTGGACAAGTAGCTATTGGACTGAAAAAAAATTAAGCATAATAATTTTTAACTTTGATATATATATATATATATATGTGTGTGTGTGTGTGTGTGTGTGTGTGTGTGTGTGTGAGACAAACGGTTACACATTTGCCCTTTTTTTATATATATTTTTTCCTTTATAAATACACTTTCAATTTTTTCATTCTCCTCACAATTTAATCTTTCATTCTCTCTTAATCTCTTATACTCTTAAGTCTAAAATTCTCAATACTCGTCCTACAATATTTTTTATACTCCAAATACTTCTTAAATTTTTTACATTTCTATTATTTTATATTACAAAAAATGGCAAGTTCAAGTTCACATATGCTATCACAACAAAGTAATGCTTCCAATCAAAATCGAGTAGGAGAGCAACAACAACAATTAAATTTTACACCTAGATCATCCGACATCTTCAAAATTCATTTCTCAAAAGTTTCTTTAGAAAAAGGCGTTTTTACCGTGATTTGCAACTACCGCAACAATCAATACACGTTCAAACAAGGAGGTGGTCATGGAACATTCAAAAACCACTTAGAGAAAAAGCATCTATCTATACTTGGTAATGATAAACATTAGACACAAATATCCGGGTTTGCTTCTTAATATTCCTCTTTATTTCAATATACCGATTAAAAAAAATAAAGAAATGGCTAAAATGATATGTATTGATCATTTATCTTTTAGTTTTGGTCAAAAAATGGGTTTTGATGATTATTGTTCTAACGCTTTGAATCCCGCTTTCAAACAAGTTGAAAGACATTCTTTAAAAAAATCAGCTTATAAAATTTTCTAAAAAAAAAAAAAAAGAGAATTAACTCGTATTATTTGCAAATTTGAATGGTTGTGTTTCTATATGTTCCGATATATAGTCCGATCAATGGCAAACTCACTTCTTTATGGGTGTGACTTGTCATTGGATTGATAATGAATGGCACATGCAAAATCGTCTTCTTGCATATAGAGTTTTTCATGATAACCATACCGCTCAAAATATATATACGATACTAAAAAGGATTTTAGATGAATATGTTTTAGCTTTAAAAATATTTTTAATTTCTTTTGATAATACTAGTTCTAATGATGTTTCAATAGACTCTTTAAAAAAAGTTTGTCAACCCCATCTTGGAGGTAAGTTTTTTCATATTAGATGCGTATGTCATGTTTTAAATTTATGTGTGCAATCTGGTTTGGAATATCTTAAAGATATTGTTAGGCCAATTAAAGCTCCTACTAAATATTTATGGGCACATCCCCAAAAGAGGAAATCATGGGGAAAGTTTTGCAAATAAAGAAACAAAAAACCAAGATGATTTTCAAAAGATGTTCCAACTCGTTGGAATTCAACTTTTGACTTACTTAGGCAGATCATTTGAATATCGAGTTTATTATGCTCATCTTTTTCAAAAAATATTGATTCTCGCTTTTATTTGTCAAAATGATTTTGATATTTACGAACCACGTTTGAAACTTTTAAGTGTTTTTAACAATACAACATACACTTTTAGTGTCGTTTATCAACCAACTTCACATTTATTTATGATTGAAGCAATTAATATTGTTGAAGCTTTTAATCATGCAGAACAAAGTATGCCAATTTTACATAATACCGTTCAAATAATGAAATAAAAATGGTTAAGTTATTATGAAACAATTCCACGTATTTATCTTGTTGCTCTAGTCTTTGATCTTAGATTTAAAATGGAAGGTCTTTCTCGTTGTTTTGAATACTTACTATAGGTATTTGCAATTACTCGATAGAAACATAGAATTAGAAACTACTTCTATTATAAATTAGGTTGGAGATTTATATATTGGAATGTCTTTAACTATGGGTGATCAACATACTAGTTCCTCTTTACCACCTATGTCACAATCATCATCAAGTAACCAACGTGTTAGAGCCTGGTTATCTTATGGCCATGGAAAAGACAAAAAGGCTAAGTGGATCATCAAGCTCCACTTCCGAGCTTGATATTTATCTAACAACCGTGTTTGAGTTTGGTGATAGAAATGCAGTATAGATTTTGAAGTAATTGATTAGTGGAAAAGACATGCAGGCACCTTTCCATTTCTGTCCATAATAGCTAGACAAATACTTGTTGTGCCAACTTCAACAACAGCCGTTGAAAGAGCATTTAGCTCCGGATGTAATATTTTAGATGATAGGCGATCACAATTGGCTCCCGCGTCACTTGAAGCCCAAGTATGCGTGGATGATTGGATAAAAGGCGACAAGAGAATACAAGAACAAAAACAATATGATTTCAATGAAGAAAGTGTGGATCTAACACTCGACGACACAACAACGAAACTTCGAAGTCGGAACTTCGGTCAAGAAAGCAACTAGGCGCAGCTACATAGGTGTAATTTGTAAATGAGTAATTTGAAATGTAAAAGAGAACTACGTAAGCTTTGATTCCTCTAAACCCCAAGAGGATACGTAGGAAGCTTAATTTTTATAGTGTTTACAAAAATTAAGTTCAAGCCCTTCTTTTTTTATTTCTTTTTTCCCTTTGATTTATTGTGCAAAATACATTACAATGTAAAAAACATTATAATATTTTTACATTATGCGAAAAAGAAGTTTTTTTCATTTCAATGCTAATGTTTGATTTATACTTCGAAAAAATATTTGATTTTTTTTTCCTCAATATAAAAAATGTTGAACCGTCTGTTACAAATGGTTTGGAACCATCGGTTTTATGATTCCAAACCGAAACCGTAACCGAAAATAAAAGGTTTGGTTCGAGTTCCACCTTTTGGTGGAACCTAAATCGGTGGTTTCTAAACCGAAATCGGTGGTTCGAGAATCGTTACCATGTCTAATCCTACCTCTCTAAAAAATAAAAATACTAAATAAATTATCAATTAGTCATTTTATTTTCAAAAAAATTAAATAATTATTTTTTAAAAAAATAATTATTTTATTTTTTTAACGTAACTAATCACACTTATTTTATTTTATTTTATTTTATTTTTAAAAAATTATATTTTCTCATATTGTTTCACATATTTTACTTTTTTTATTTCTTAAAAAAAATATATAATAAACCAAAAAGGAAGGAAAATTATTAAGTTATTAGGAAATTTAAAAATATAGAAACAAATAATTGGTTTTTAAAATAAAAAGGACCAATTAATTTGTTTTTCAAAATTAAAATGACTAATTTATAATTTACTCTTAAAAAATAGGATTCATAAATTATTTTTATAGTTGGTCTCAAGTTTTTTATGAAAAAAATTGAGTATATCTCTTCACATACCTAATATTTTTTTCATGAAGTTACAAACTTTTTTTTTTTTTTCACGTCCAATGCTATAAGTTAGAGATGGGAATAGATTGAGTCGGCATTGGATTTTGTTGTATCCACACCCGACCAAAAATACTAGTACCCTTCACTCGCACTCGATTTGGTTAGGTCGGTTGGGACGAATGAAGAACAACTCCTATCCGAGGAATACTCGACTTGACTCGATTATATATATATATTGTTCAAAAACATACAAAATCAAATCTTTAATTAATTATTATTATTTTTTTTTTTTTTTTTTTTTTGTAGAATCTCATAAGATCACATCCTAATAAATTAATGTAAAGAATCTCATATAACCAATAACCTTATTTTTCTAATTAACGAGTTAACTTTTAATACTATATATAATTTTAAAATATAAAATTATATAATTAAACATCATTAGTGGTATGTATTAATTAGAATATTCCGAGCGACTAGTATGGTTAAATAATCAGTTCAAATTTCTTTTATGTTTATAAACCATATATATAGTAGTTTGTTATTCTTTTTAATTGACTTCTTTTATGTATTTTTAAAAAAATACATAAACTACCTAATTTATATCATATACTACGTAGTACTTGATAAAGAGAGATAATATATATTAAAAAAAAAAGGTTAACATGCTAATCTTACTAACGAGCCAAATTTTACTAGGAAACTATGACCACCTAGGTAGATAAGCTCAAGTCTAATTAGACTCCAAATAGACAACAACTAATATATATTGACCATCCAAGTCAAGAGTTTTATATATATATTTACAAGTAGTTGAGCATTTTTTGAATTAGCTTTTACATCAACCAAGACTAAGTCCATCATTTTTTGAGCTAAATCAACGTCGAACGCGTTTAGCGTTTGGTCGACAACTAGCCTCCCTCTTAAACCAAATGAGTCAAAGCCTAGAGTAATAACCCATTTTTGACCTCCTGTTTATTTTCATACAATTGTTTTTTTTTTAAAAAAAAAGAATGTTGCATAGTTTATCTATTTCATATTTTTAGGTATTTTTAAAAAACATTAGGATTTTAATTTCTTAGGATTAATCCTTATTTTTAATTAGAAAAAGAAAAAGAAAAAGAAAAGAAAAACAAGAGAAAAAAATTAATAAAATAAAAAGATGATTTGGGATCCATTTGAAAATAATGTGAAATTTAAGGACTAAGTGACATTCAATTAGGGATATCATTAAAAAGGGATAAAAATCAAGGAACTTGAATGAGAATTAATCAACAT